TGTAGATGATAAAATGTTTAAAATAATGTGTCTCTTCTTGAGCTTTTTACTATAGACAGTAGACATTTTAGATTTAGATTTTTTAAATGTTATTTCCCTTAATTGTCGATAAACATACAAGGTTCTTGGTTATTAATATACCATTTACAAAAAATCGAAAATACATAGGCATGAGTTTTTTATAAGCATTTGAAGTTAAATTTTTGACATAATTCGTCAAAATTATAGAAATATGCAAATCATTCTGTAGTTAAAAATGTATATAATGTTCAACCTACATAGCTAAAAATGACAATTTAAAACAAGGTTACTCATCAGTACCAATAAATTACACTATCAAAAAATCTACAAATTATATTCAAGTACAGAATATATAATAGATATTTTAAGTTCAAATTCGAATGAAATTAGATATTTAAATGAAGACTGTAGGTACTTGAAGCTTCTAAACTCTAAAGTATATAATCAACATAATAATATATTATACACACAATGACTTTTTTAAATGCAATGTTTTCTGAAAAATATAATTCAACTTACTGTATTACTAATAGTAAAATATCTATATAACTTTAATAATAATAATATCATAAAATATACTAAATAATATTTTAGGTTAGTCCGTCTTCATTCAAAAATATCAATATTTTATCATTACATTTAAATTTAACACAATAACACATACATATCAGGTCCACATGTACACCTTTATATATAAATTAAAAAACCACTCGATGTACAAAGTACCTATATGACGAAATTGCGAGTTATTAAAATATGAATTCTATATTATACTATAAATTATATTCTTATAGGTAATATAATTATATAGATAAAATAAAACTATGCTATTATAATAGGTATATTATTTGGACAAAATTAAATATTAATTATGTTTCTGTACCATCGATTATGGATACTTGTGTTTCAGGAATATTAATTTGCTTGCTTGAGTGTTTTTAATAAGGGGCAATATTTAGGCAATATGCAATTTCTTTGCCGCCGTCCATGTCATTTGAGTTAATTGTCAATGATGATTGGTGTGAGTGTGATTGTATGCGGGCACTGACTCGGTACACGCCTATGGTACCGAGTATGTCCTCACATGTCAACGGCACCAAAAATAAAAGACATGATTTTTTGCCCGAAACACGCTTTACAGGAAAAACTCTCACGCATCGTAGAGTGGTCTGATTTGATTAATTTTTTTTCGTTAAAAAGAGGAGAGTTTTCTACAGATCGCGTTGGACTTTGATTTTTAATTTCGTAGGTTAAAACAAACATAATAAAAATAACAAAATCTTGTGAAAATTGCTCTTATTCAAAATCGTATCATATTATGGTTTAGAAATATAATTTTTAAATCTAAGTCTAATGCTCCATGTAAGAAGTGTTTCTCTGTCAAAAAAAAAAAAAAATAAATATCGAAATTTGATCACTCTACGAGGCGTGAGAGTTTTTTCTGTAAGGCATGTTTTTGAGCAAAAAGCAGGTCACGTGCAGGCCCCTTAACTAATTTATTTAGATATTTAAATGTATGAGTGATTTAATATTCATGAAATTATTGTGGAATAATTTATAACATACTACAGGAATGTTGGGTACCTTGTGATTTTGGGGTTTGTGACCCAATAAAATTGAAGTCTTGAAGAGAGTTATTATATGAGTTATAATTATTTTAATGAACATTTTATAATATTATGCAGGTAGTTATATATTTGATTATAAAATCGTTTGTACTATGAATATAATACAACTGGTATGTTCTAAATATAACAATTTATCTAAGTCATCGCATAATGACTATATTTATTATAATGAATAGTGGTTATGGTAAGTACAATACGACGATGAAAAATATAAATGATAATAATATAATTCTCATAATTTTAGGAATGTTGTAGTAGTTGTATTTGATATTTTATTGCAGTATTTTGAACCAGTTCATTTAAACTTGCACATAGAGCTTACTGCACTTGATTATGTTACATTATTTATATATCATGAGGGAATACATTATTTGTTTATTTATAACAACTATTTTTTATTATTATTATTTAATTTTCAACAACAACGGTCATTATAATATATTTACAATTATCTATATTATTTATTCTTAGTATCTAAATTAAAATACAAATAGTCTTAATTATTATTAAGACTTTTTATTTTTATATTGAAATAATTGCAATTTCTTATTAATATTCAATGGAGAAATAAATCTTGCAAGTTAGGAATGGTCAACAAGCATAACAAAACGTGTTCGAATATTAAAAATCCATAAATTATTGATATATTATAATTTAAAAATTAAAAGTGCACTTACATTATTTAATTTAGTATTTTAGTATATTATTATTTACTATATTATATTGTTGTATTGAAATCTAACAGTAAATTAGCCAATGTTAATAATATTAATTAAGTGCAAATGTTGAATTAAATAATATTATACGTCCTTTTACTTTACAAATTAATTAAAATTTAAATGTGTACCTACTTAACAAAGAGTTTTTTGTTCAAGTTAATTTGATTATGATGTATTTGGCCATAGAAATTATATGATTTTAAATCAATTAATTAAAATATATAAATAAAGATATTTATAAAATGCATTCATTTTCTTTGAAATCGACATACAAAATTTTGATGAACATTAATTACATAATCAATTAGAGAAGCTCACTGTTTGCAGTTTTATCTCTCTGACCTCTTATAACATAGACTAAACGCATTTAAAAAAAATAATTTTGTTTTATGTTTTTCCTAAAAACATTTTAGAGTAAAATCACCCATTATATAAATTATCGAGGATAATATTGTTGACATTATGAAATATCTATTTTCCAACTATAGTCTCAAATACTCAAAATAATTTAATCATCATTTATAATAATACTTATCTACATTTTTTTTGTATTTTAAAAGTCAAATACTACATTAAATAATAATAAAATATTAAACCAATATGTTGAAATTTCAAAAATATAATCCTCTAAAATGTTTAGAATATAGATAATTTTACTCTAAGATTACTCAAAAATTATAAACAATGATTTTACGTGAAAACGTTTTATCTATATTGCGCGAAGTCTGAGAGGGATAAAATATTATATTGCACATTTGCCCGGACATCCTCCTAAACATTTTTCATTTCTAGTTAAACATTATGAAATGTGAATAATAATTTTAAATTATGTACTTAAGTTGAAAATAACTTAACTTATTGTTTAAATAGTATTCGTAAAAAATACTCCACTTAAATTACCTGTTTTTTTAAATCATCGGAAATGTCACAATTTTGTCCATCAGCAAAAATAGCTAGTAATCAATTCTTCCAGTAACGTTAAATGGAAAAAAAATTATGATAAAAAAACAAAGTTATTCGCTGTTTAATTAATTAAAAAAAAATTATATAGCAATTTTTTGTAAATATTTACGTTCTCTTTTTTAGTAATATTATGTTTATATAGGTAATATACACATATATTTTAAAGTAAAATTAAAAAATTAAATATCTAATTATGTTTAAAAGCTTAGAAACATATTTTTGGTCAATGTATAGAGTCTATACTATAGATTATAATAATATAGGACATCGAACTGTTTATAGTATATTATTAAGTATAACTTGTATGTAGGCGAAGCGTTATAATGTTGGGTCGTTACTCCAGTATGTACATGTTGTAAATATAGTTTTTATTGAAATGCATTTCAAAATTGTACAGATTAATGTTTCACAATCTGTGGTGTGTGACCTCTGAGGTTTAATTTATTATTCTTTTATTAGTTATTTGTGAACAACATACCTACTCGTATTATAATATTATTATTCATAATAATACGGTTTGGTACTTTGGTACATTGAGATAGGTATCTACAACTTATCCATAGTTTAACAGTTATCATTTACAAATTACAGTATATATATTTTTTTTTCATTACAAAACAATGCTTTGTATATTCATTTGATTTTTGGATGTTTGTGTATAAAATATTTATTTTTTATTATTTTACTAGTCACCTAGAACCTAAAAATTATTAGGCTTAAAAAAAAATAGCCACTTGAAATCATAAGTTATCAATACAAATATTTTTACGATTTTCACTAATGAGTTATGAGTAAATCATAAATATAATATATATTTGTATAATGCCTAAAGACATATTATGACCGATTGAAACAATAATACTGTATGACTAAATTATATTATAATGATATTAAATAGACAAAATTACAATGATAACGCACATCGTTTCTATACTGACTAGTGCATACACACAGGCGAATTATAGTGTATAAAAAATAATAACTGTAACGGTAGTGAACAACAATTTGGTGAAAATAGAAGGCTGAAGGTTGGAAACTTTCATGTCTGGCATCATATAACGCGTCATCTATTTTAACATGAGCTTTGTGACGAAGTGACCCTACTCCAAAAATATAATATATACCTGTGCTTAATAAAGTTGACAATATCCTTTCTCCACTACACGCATATCGTGCCTCTTTTCATATCATCAACTATATTACAATAATATTATTTGCATGTTATATTATTATATTATAATCCAGCCAGCGATTCTCCATTAGTGCACCACTATAACAGTAATTTATCTAGGTTTATGTATAGTCCTTTGTAATCGGCCGTATCACATGTACTTTAATTTCCCGTCATTTCAGGACCGTAACATTTCGCCCGTTTTGTGTTAAAACGCTGTGCATTTTATGCTCGCACTTTGTCCCACTCCACCCCGTACCGCCCACTCTGTATGTGTTACTAATCCGCGTCTATTAAAGTAGGTTTTTACCCACTCAAATTGTCGGCAGACTGAGTTATTTCTCAAATATTATTATACATTTTCAGGCCGACCCCGCGTGACTCCACTGGCACAACGTATACATTTAATACTATCACTCTCGTGATGATATAATGCTAATAAACACTGCATTACCTATACATTTATACGTTTTATGTTTGACTTTTTTTTTTTAACAGGCGTTCGGCCAAAGTCCGCAAAACTCGGTAGACGTACGACCGATAATCGTGATGCCCACGGCGACCGTGGCTGACGACCGGAAGAAGCAAATCGACAGTAATTCGCCTCTGTCAAACGAAGTAGACCCGGCATCGATGATGTCGCTGTTCAATGTGGCCACCGCCAACAACGTGAGCGTCGAACAGCTGGCCTTGGCTCTCCGACAACGGCAGCAGCAGACGTTTTACCAGACAGCCACCGAAGAAATAACCACACCTATGCCGACCACGACTGTTACCGCGTTACCTACCACCACTACCACGACACTACCGCCGCCAGCACTTACCTCGGCATACTTTTCGGACGAGCCACAGACGGTCGCTAAGAAAATAGCCATCAAACCGTACAAGTCTAAATACGTGACCAGCCAAAAGGTGATGAACGCCCCCAAAGAGTACTATCCCGTCGGATACGACAAGAACTTCGACGACAACTTTGTGTCCAAAGTGGACCTGCCCGACACGACATTCAGTTGTGGTGACCAGAAACATTTCCCTGGATTGTACGGAGACGAGGATTTGGGTTGCATGGTGAGTGCCAGATTATTATTAAGTACCTATTAAGTATATAGGACATAGGTGTTCTAGTTTAAATTAGGTTTATTGGGTTTATGGTGGATTTGTTTTTCAAGAATCAATTCATATCATAAATAAACTATGGGTATACATTATCGCTTTTAAGAAAAATTATATCTATATAGGTACATTACAATAAAGAATGTTTTAAGATATTCTAATTTTTTTAATTTATGTATAACAGCCAATTTTTTAATTAATTTACAATTCTGACGATCTTCAGATGGGGTTGAGCCAATTTCTTATGAATGAAGAAAGGATAAATATTATTATTATTATTTTGATAGCATCGAACTGTATTTTTTTTTTTCAGAAAAATAGCCTAATTCACTTAACATTTTAATTCAAAAAATAATATGACCATTATAATAGGTATTATCTATTATTTACAATATTTTTCAGTTTGCATAATAATTTGAAAAATTATTATAACTATAATTTTTATAATTTGATTTATAAATTAAATTGAGTAATTTAATTTTTGTTAAGTGAATTGAAAACAAATTAGGTAATGAGACGTATTTACAATTTATATTAATTATTATTAAATCATATTATTTCGTTTTTAAATTGTATCAAAACAGAAATCCAGACACATTAGTTAAATAATCTTTAACAATTAATACACATGACAGTATTACATTATCTTAAGTCATTACTCCTCGTTTGATGGTTAATCTGTAACAGGACTCTTTCATGACGATTTATTAATAGTTCATGTATGGACATTTATTTGTCACTTACCTACCGATAACGTATTGTTGTCTGCATATAATAAAATAATAAATGGATACGTGTACGGGTGTATTCTGTTCTTGGAGATAGGGAACCTATTCAGTAGTATTCAATAGTACGTTATAATGAAAATGGATGACAGGATGTAACTGAGTTGAACATTTCTAAATATAATCATGTTTTGTGCTCGTTCACTAACAAATTGATTGATTCGATTTTGTTTTGGAGAAATAGATTTACATCTCCGAAGAAATTTTTATCAAGATCTAGTACATTGTTGTATTCTGTGGTACAAGGCACATATTTGATTCACATCCATTAGAATATTTTTTTACATTTTATACTCTTAAAACTATATTGATTACAATTATTTATTTGATTATTTTAATTATTCATAATTTTATTTCAATAATTACAATAAATACATAACTATTAAAAATGCATTAATGGAAATTGGAAACAAATAGGTTGTAACATAATAATATGTCTTAAGAAATTTACCTCATGGAAGTTATGTGAGTTGGCATATAAATTGGCTTATATGAAAATTAAAAAAATTGTCATAATTTTACAACGGACCGACGTCGATTAACTGCAATCACTATAATAGGCGTATTACATTAATATTGCTTCAATTTTAACTCAAATTTAAAAAAAAGTATACATTAAATCACCGAAACTTTGTTAACGGTTCATTACGTATTAAACTCTATATAGACTTAAGATAATTACCTTAAGATATTATATTATAGGTATCTTAAATATATTATCTGTTTGATTACAGATGAAATGAAATTCTTAATATTGAACAAAAACTTATCAAAATAACATTTAAATGCTCAACTCCTCACTTGGAGTTTTTATAATCTAGTGCAATACTCTTTTAAACCTTGTCCTATATTTAAATGTAACATGAAACGTATTCAGCGACCATAAGATATAACATAATATAATAAAACGTTTACAATTCTGATACAATAAAAACCTTTATTGAAATGAAACTATAATTGTTCAAATTAAGAAAGGAAAAAATTGCCATAATCAAATCAACACGGCATTATAATATAATAACATAAATTGTTGGAATTTTATATTATATATTATTTTTAGTTAAATTAAATTTTTAATAATTAAGTTTTCAAATTATATTTTAGATAATCTTTAAATCTCATCAAAATATCATATAAATCTATTTGTATAAATTAAGGTTCGTTTGTATGGATATAATAGACTTAGAAACTACTGAACTAATTGGCACCCAATTTTGCACACATTCCTTGACACGCATGTTAAAATATGATGGCTCCCGAAAATCGAATATTTTTTTGTTTACATATTTAGGGTTGTTTTGTGACAGATATAAAACAGACTTTCATATAATCTATAAATATATAAAAACGAATGTATGTTTGTAGCTTACTTATATAATCAAGAACTATTTTTGAGGTTGGAGTCGGATTGTATAGCTAGTATTTAATTTAAAAATCAATATTAAACGTAGCACACGGATAATATTTTCGAAAAAAATCTGTACTTGCAAAAAACGTATTATTGGTACGTTAAATGTGTATAATATTGTATCCAATTATGATATTGTTGATTGGGACCAAAAAAAAACACTGCTTGTGACATTTCGGTTGGACGTTCAAATCTTATATTATGTACCTACTTTCGTAGGGCAAACGAAAATGCGACTGTATGAACCTAACCATATACGAATATGACGTGGACTTTTCGACTCCACTACTGGAAAATCAGACAAGGGTCGTTGCCGCAGTGAAATATTCACGCCGAGCACTCAGCGGTGGTGTGTTTTGCACAGATAACGGAAATCAGCACACACATGCTTTGTGGGTGGCTGTATTGTACATAACGTCGCGTCAAGTTATATAATAATAATAACAGCCGTACCCAACGGCCGAGCCATCGTATCGTTCCAAATCATACAGTGAGATTATATTATTTTGTTACGAGCTTAACTAGGTAGTTTTTTTTTTTCATTTCACCATCTGCCAATGGTAGCTAAAAGCTATACACAAACAATATAATATAAATAGTACCGGCTTATCGAACGTTTGTAGTCCAAATTACACAGGAATAGTTTATCGTTATTTTTGAATTCATTAACTATATTCCCAGTACCTAGCTAATAATAAATATCCTATTACGCTTAATATACTTACGTATTTCTTCACGATCATGAATAAATAAACTGTAAGTAAAAAACAAGTATACGAACATTTGATCTCAAAAAAGTCACATTTTGGTAGGTATATAAAAACACGACAACAATATTAGACTTTAGAGTAGGTACCTATAGTATTATTGGATTGATAATAATTATTAAATCATAATCTTACGGTATATTGTTTAAGTTTTTATCCAAATTCGATTATGTCCAATTTTATAATCGTCACATCATATCTCTAAAATATTGTATATTCATTTTTATTATACTCTTACAACATGCTATCACATAGAACTTATTACTAATAATAATTCTTTATTCACGGGACAAAAAAATGTCCAATTACCTACATTATGTTATTTTATTTAAACGTATAAATACATTATGTAAGTACACGTCATCATACTAATTCAAAGTTCATTAAAATGAAAAATTCATATTTTAATTTAATTAACTCACAGACATTTCTTAATAATTGGTTGTTTTTATGACTGAACACATTAAATGTGTTAAATATTAATGTATTATTGCTAAGACTACGTCGTTATATAAGTTGTCTTCATCTAACGCATAACGTCATATTAATTTTTTTTCAGACGAATCAATTTTACTATGGTAATATTAATCATATTATATACAATTTTAGATTATTCTTATAACTTGCTTCAAAATTAGTATAACAAAAAAATCGTAATTGAAACCCTAGATAAGGTGCTCAGGTAATGTTCGTAAATTTTAATTTTTACGCATTAGTAAGATGGAAACAACACATTCTTGTACGACGTCCTCTTAATACAATATTGTATTGGAAACAGTTGAAACTAAAAAGCAGGAGAAAATACAGATGTCACAGACGTAAAAGTATTAAAATTGCATATACACAACGCCGTGTTTATTTAGGACTATGTTTTCTAAAAATATTCTTACATTGTTTTTTTTTTTTTATTATACAATGTATTAATGAACATCCATCGCAAGAGTGGTTTAAAATCCTAATTAGTTAATTTAGCTGCAAGTCATATCATAGGGGTTAGGTTGGTGAATATTCACTGTTCATTGATTTGATCTGACCTTTGTAGATACGATTGTTTTTAACAAAATATTTGCTTATTCGAAACGCACATCAATGTACAATATATTATACACATATTATTCTAAGCATAAAATAGTTCAAACGAGAATCTAAAGGGAATTTTGAAAGGTTAAACAAATAAAACAAATGTATGAAAACCATAACATGGATTTGTTTTGCATTATTTTTTGACAACAAAATATAGCAGGAGATAAAGGTCTACATGAGAACTATACAAATGTATAGTTTTTCACAAGGTCGTAAACAAAGTTTCCTTTATAGCACCGAAAGTTGAATGTCATGGGAAAATAGGTAGAAATATTCCAATTATTTTGACCAACTAAAATGAAAAAGAAATAATTGAACTTATTTTTATCTCAATACTATTTTCTAAAAGTACTTAATATCATATTACTAATTATTATACACAAAAAATAATTGTATTTGCCTATTAAAAATGTATAAGTTAAAAATTATTGTTCACTTATAGACTAGCACTAAATATATCCTTTTAATTTGTCTTAATATTTCAAAATATTAAGACAAATTATATATTTAATACTAATAAAAAGTATGTTGTGTAAAATAAATATAAGTGAATACTAAAAAATCAGAATTGTTAGAATTCAGAAATAAAACTGTACACAACTAATATTATAATTTTATATTAGTATTAATTTACACAATAATTGTTATAGTTTAGAATATTTTTTGATAGGTAAATCAAAATTAAAATTGTTATTTTCGAGTTTCTCAAAGATCCTAGACATAAAATATGTTTTCAATTCTAAGTATTAATTTTAACTATAATCTATAAGTATTCAAATAAATACGTATATTCATATAATTAATAGGTATATTGTGGCTAGACGTTCTGTATAGTATAATACTATAAAATAAACAGTGGGTGCACTTGGTGACTTGTCATCTCTCATAATAGTGTCTTTATAGGTCTGGTGTATAATTTAGTGGTATTGTTAAAGGTGAATGATGCAAACGAGACAATATTATAATATTATAATTATGTTACAGGTGTTCCACGTGTGCGCGTTCACCGATGACGGTCTGACGCAAAAGAGCTTCCTGTGCCCTGAGTCGACGCTGTTCGACCAGACCATACTCAAGTGCAACTGGTGGTTCTACGTTGACTGCAAGTCGTCCAAGAAGTTGTACGACAGCAACATTCCCATATCGAAGAGCTATCAGCTGATGAAGGCACTGACGTTCTTCTCGTCGTACTCGGCTGGACCGTCCATGGACTCTTCCGTGGCCGCGGCCACCGCCGCCGTATCACGACATCCGTCAGACGAGACGGACAAGTCCGATATCGCTACCGTTTCGTCGCAATTCGATGGCGTCGCGAATCCGTCGGTTTCTAACACCACCACATCCACCGAAGTCCTCGACAACGTGTCATTCCGAAGGTGATTCGGATACTTTGTACCAATCACCCCCTTCCTCATTCCCACGAACATAAACAGAAGGCCAGATTTTTATTTTGAGCGCACTCGTTTATGTACACGACGTCTCACAAATATTTAATAACTTTTTTGTTTTATTTATTATTTAATTTATGTACAACGCTCATACCGTTGTAACGAATAGGTCTTAGTGATTTTAGATTTTTACTATTTTTGTGATATAATAATATTATTCAAAATAAACGTTGTATATTATAGGTGATACATGGTAATATTATCTAATACGAATAATATTTTCTTAGACGCTTCAAATAGTTTCCAATTTGCTCATTTAAATTTAAATAATTATGACTACGATAATCGTAATAATATTATTGTTATGGTTTTAATTAAACATTTATGTTACACTTGTATATTATTATGTAGTAAAAAGTCTTTTATACATTTTTATATATATTATTTTTATTTAACAATATTAAATTATTTTACTACATAATATAAACTTTGTCATCATTTAGAGGTAATAATATAGTTAGCTAAATGTATTCAAGCCCATACTCAAATAATACACTTAGTCAAATAATTTGATGTTGAAAATAATATTGTAATTGTGCAGCAGTGGGCTGACTAGTGACAATATATTATGCATATTAAAACAATAAATATGGTATACTATATTATATTCGTACTTAATTTACAAAATGTTACTTCCTAATTCTTTTCTCTGTAAGTTATTCATATAACATACATTGAACGAAATAGATAGGTACATATTTTTTAATATTTATATATTCTATTAAAAATGTTATGGCTATGTATTTCCCTATAGTTATTTACACACTTTTGCCTTTATTCGAGTATTGTTCGAGTATTCCATAGTAACCCATTAAAAAAATGGTTGATCATTTTTAGTTTAATTTTATTTCAGCATTAGTGATCGCCACATTTAATTTTATTATTGATGATTAAATTGTATATACAAGCTTTCATATCGTATTAGTTCAATCCTTGTTATATATACATATATTTTGTTTGAATTTCTGAAGTGTTAACTGAAGTTTATGATATTAATACAGTTTGACCTAGATTAGTTATGAAAACAATATTTTTACGCAAGCTTATAAAATACGAAATCATTAAAGTTTGTATACACATTTTTCTGAGAGTTTGTTACATATTTATTTAATTCTATTTACGTATCTCTCAATAATTATATTCTAGTTCATGTCAAATACAACTTTGTTTAATCTCACAGCATCGAATAAATAAAATATTCCTCTTAGGAATTATTACCACAAAATATCTGTGCAAACTTTCTTCGGAAAAATAATACACTAGTGTTAAATTGCATACATCAGAGAATTTGTATTTTGCATGTTAAATTTATTCATGTGCAGGTCAACAGTATTAACTATTTTAATATATTTTTGCTGACAATATCTACAAACATCATAATATTAATCATATACCTAGTTTACTAATAAAATAAGTCATACGATGCATAAGTAAATTTATGTTAAGTTCGTTTTTTACGATATTCGAGCTACCCTTTGTATTATTCTGTTCTTCCACAATTGTGGATAATATTATATTGAATTACAACGAATTCTTATAGTTTAGACGTCATTCGTGTTTGGATTCCCATGTTTAATACTTTAAGCAATATTATTACATTTTGTTGTATTGGAGTCGAGTTTTTACCAATTTAGGTATAATAATCTGAATATAATAAGGTAGCTATATTGTTTATTATTAATAAATCTTTACATATAATTCTGGACATATTTTGTATGTAAATACCCATACAGACGAACGCCAATATCAATGATATCAATTGATTTATGTCGGCTTTTAAGCATTCGTTACATCTGTCTCCAGTTTATTGCTAATATAAAAAAATATGTCCAGAATTTATTAAGTAGTAGAAAATCATAAAATGAATTATTTTAATAATTGGGTTTGTAGGTGTTCATAATGAATACGGTATTATATCTTTCAACTGAAGCAGCGAACGTTAAACGATAGAAAAATAGAATAATTTTGACCTCGGGTGAATTAATTAATACAGCTAGTATCGTATAATTTCTATTAAGTATTGTCAATTTCACGTTATTTTTAAAATTTATAAAAACAAATCTTCTATAAAGTCCATTAAACTTTTTTCACAATAATTACTAAAAAATATGTACAAGCTATTGTGGTGTGTAATACATGTTATATAGTGAATGAATTATATAGGTAATAGCCTACCTTGGTACTAATAATCAAAATAAAGATACAAGATACTATAATATTAGTAATATTTCCAACTGTTCTGTTAAACTGTGTTATTGAAACTGATATTACATTTGAAATCAGTGGCGGTTTTGATAAAACATCAAGTGGGGGGGGCTATTTTAAATTTTTGGGCCTCTCCCCACCATAACCATAATTAAAGCAATTCAAGAATTTAGTGTAATTTCAATTAAAAAAATAACATGCAAAAAAATCCGAGAAATACTATACGCGTTATTGTAACAATGACTAGCAGATATTTAATTTTTAATAATGGCAATAGTTTGAGTATTAAGAAATAAAATAAAACCCTTAGTTAAAGTTAAACAAAATTATAATAAGGAGAGTTATGAATAAATTTTTTCATAAATATATATCTATTACATAACCAGCCTACCATCATAAAAATAAATAATAATAAGTTTATAAAGTTCAATACTACTGCAATAACTGTATGGTTCATAGCAATTTTTAGTTTAATTCGCAAAGTAAAATATTATTAAAAATTATGAAATCTTTGTTTACTTATGTATAATGTGGGTATATACACATAAAAAATTATCTGTGCGTGAGATAAACTTTAAACAATCGTTAAAACTTGGACTACTTTTTCCATTATAATATTTAAACCAGAATAATAAAGTAAGTACCTAGTTATATTAAAATAGATACTAGTAGTATATTACTAGTTTACCGTATTTTATAATATACCGTATTTTAGGATATTATCTAGAATTCTAAATATATAATAGGTACCCACAAATATAACCAAACATCAAATCTCCTTAACATAAAGTTTTATAGGTACTTTCTCGAACATTAGAAATTATTAATATAATTTAAATGTATACAAGTATACAACTAAATATTAATGCAGTGATAAAAAAAAATAAATATATTTAGGAAGTCCCAAACCTATAGCATTATAATACATTTGACGACACAATATTTATTACTGGGGGGGGGGATGGCGGCACTTGTTCTCCGGACACCATAACATGCCCGAAGAAAAATGCCACCCGTGGCCAAGGTTTTGAACCGACGTCGGTGCGCGTCTCAGAGTTATATCCGTTCGGCCACTCCGTCCCAATATATTAAATTATTATTTATTACTCGCTGAATCGGATGACGGGAAACAAGCCGAGAGGTTCGCGTTTGCTCCGATTTCTCAGCGGACTCCGGTTAGTGGTAAGCACGTGGGGGTAACCAAGGAGGTATCGGTTGCCACGGACCACGGCCATATATAGTATAATACGGTTGCCCATCGACCCATGATTCTCATACTTACTTGAAAAGTGTCAACCGAAATGAATCTCTAAGATCAGTATATTAAACAGCTAGAAATTTCAGCACTAGCGCTTATATTATAATATGTTATAGTGACTGTCACGCCACAACAATATTTACACTTGGATGGTATAACTGCATTTTATAGTCACTACAACAAATAAGCGCTAGTGCATCAATTTTCAGCTGCTTATAGCGATTCATTTCGGTAGACACTTTTCAAGATTCGGTGGGCAACCAAGTCGTTAATACCATGGTTAATCGTGCCACGGACTGATGGTTGCGAAGAAAATTTAGGTAATTTGATATATGATATATTGTACATAATATTATAAATATTTGCCATTTTCTTGACGATTTTTTTCTTGGATCAAATTTGTCACATGGACATTTCACAAAACATTCATCGTCAAATAAAAAAATTTCCGAAACAAAATCATCCGAGTAATAACAATAAATTGTAGCATATTCTGCATATTATAACGAATATAGTTTATGAAAATATAGGAGGTACTCACTCGTCAATTATTACTAAAAATAAATTGTCTTACCATAGTTATCACAAAACACTAAACGACCATGAATAAGTAACTTCTAGTAACTTCTTGTTAATAATTCTATTGATCAATATTATTTTAATGATTGATATCAGTGCTATAACCAGAAGAATTTTTCTTTAGGGGGGTCTTAATTTTTTTTATAGTTTTTACAATGCTAGAATTTCTAATTATGACCCCTTTGTTCATAAACTGTATCTACTTTTATTATGACTTTATATTTATGTTAACAACTATGGTACCTACATTAATTAATAGGTACAAGTATATTATAACAATGTACTAACGTTATTGAAAACCATAGGTTAATAATGTCTTCATTAATATATCATTAAAATATCAATATGTGTTGTAAACAAAACTTTTCATTATTTGTTCGAATATCATTACAATTTACCAGCAATAAATAAGAATACAAGACTATATTTAGGCTGTTGAAAGCTGGTCGCTTTTTCGTACATTTAGATCAATCGACGGAAAAAAATATACTTCTTAAAGTCCAATTTTAATTTTGAAAAAATGTTTGAATTTCTTCGCTTTTTATCTGGTTTGTAGAATAAGTGCGAATAATTTATTTCTTGTAATACTAAAGTAAAAGTGAATTTTGAAAAAAAAATAAAATTCGTTTTTTACTATACATTATTAAACAATACAACAAATAAAAAATCCATTTCCTACAAACCTAGAAAAGAGATTAAGGAATTCAATTAAGATGTTTTCAAATTTATAATCTTGCTTTTGGTACTGGCTGAATTTTTCTTCCACTTTTTGGGACTTTCGTGGCCGACCGGAGTTGACAATTTTTTATCGTAAAATATAGTAACGTTTGTCTGCGCGTATGTACGTTTCGGATTTCCAAGAATCTTAGCCGTAGTTCATCAATCATCTT